GGCAAGAAAAGCAACTCGCGCTAGGACTGGAATGTGGGGTCTTTATGAAAGGGGTTTTGAACGTGCGTTACACTGTACTGTACAAGAAATACTGTAACCCAAAACAAAGGTCAGCGCCTTTTGAACTGCTACAAATAAAAACCCGCGACGGTTAAAAACCAAATTCCAAGAGGACGTTCATTCATACTAACAATTCATTCATTCACCTTTTAGAGCTGCCTTAATTAAGTCAAAAACGTCCTAAACTTGTACAAGAATGGTCTCGGGATGCAAGGGAAAAAGGCCATGACGACCTCTAGCCACTGAAGAAAAATGTTCTTAGTTGCCTATTTTGTTTTTTGCAACCTGACGAGACTGCCATCCATAGGTGCGAAGCCTTTAGAAAAAACTTGCTTTTGCCGAAAGGAAGGTGCCAAATAAATTTAACTACACGCGAAAATTATTCTAAAGAAATCACAGAATAAAAAAGGAGCAGTTCAGCCGACACTTAAAGTGCAACTAGCCCGCCAAATTTTTTTCCCTTTAATGAAATCTACTAGTTTTCCCTATTACTTAAGCCAAAAAATTATCTCGATCGATAAAATCCCCGCGATTCTAAACGCGTTTAAAGTGCAGCTAATCCCCCAAATTTATCTTCGCTTATTTAGATCTCCTCATTTTTCTGATCACCACCGCGAAAAAGTTATCGTTATAGCTATTTTCGTTAGTTTCCTATGAATTCCTTTTCAGTCATTCAACTGCTTCTGAGTTACTTTGTCTTGATCATATTTGTAGCAAAATCACTGAGTTTAAGGGATACAGTGAAAAAAATGAATAAGCGAAAAAAATTTCTTTCGCGCATGAAGGAAATACAATTGTTTCAAAATTTAATCCTGCGCGAAGGGCCGTGGGTCCTTGCGTGTGACAACTTCTTTTATCCATTCCGGAGCATGAACTTTCTGAAATCGTGACTAAAGACAATTGCTCACTTTCATTTGTTAAAACACAGTCATCCATAATTTACACTCGAATTTTTGAGTTTGCGTCCTCCTCTAGGCGACGCCAATTGTAACTTCTATATCAGAGGTAGTGTATTTTTTAAAGCAAACGTGTCTAGGACCGGTGCTCTTTCCAGAGTTGACTTGAACTTCTGACTTTACCGCTACATCACGCTTAGACGGCGCCTTTTGTGGCTTCGCCGCTCGCCTCTTCTTGTTCGGCGGTGTTTCTTCCCTCGCCGATCTTCGAGCAAACGAGGGACTGCTCGTAACCTACATTACGTTATTTTGGGTAAAGCTCGTTCATAGTTCTTGCTTAGCGCGATATTTAGTAACGCAACCATCGGGGATTCCCCTGTTG